CCATCAGCGCGTGGAGATGTTTGCCGTTCAGCGATCAGATGAAAATGAGCTCCAGGCAAAATTTCTCCCGGCATGCTTTGCGAGTCGTGTCCAACACCGCCTGCTAATATACCTTCGTGTGGTAAACAAACGTTTTCAACATAGCATGATTTCCATTGACTAGTTCTGATACAAAAATTGCTTACCTGCACTTGAGGCTTGGCAAACAACTGGTCTAGATATTACACTAGCAGCTCCTAGAAAAGGTTCGTTTGATTCTCATGATGAATGCAGATATCGGTCGAGAAATGACAACCTACTCTCCGTTCGCAACGAAAAATGTGTCCGCCATTGCTCCGGCTGAGACGACATATGATTGGTCGAATACTGTCACGTGAACCGTGTCCAACACCGCCTGGTATATTACAGCGGTTTTCAATTGAGTGTTGTAAAACCAAAACACAACTAATTACTTACCAATTAGACTACACGGCCAGTCTCGTTCATCACACTTAAACCAAAACCAAAACCAAACCTAAAGGTATTCTTTGATTACTTAATTCGACACTCAATTGAAAACTGCTCTAAAGAAATAATCTATTAAACTAATAAGTCCACCTTGATGTTCATTTTTTTACACTACTGTACAAAACCATTACTAATACTACTATTGTTGACACTACAGTCTTAATAACAGCCGATTTAAAACACTTGTCTCAAGATATATGTATCATAGCAATAAGAAAAATTCAATCTAAGATATCAGCGATCAATAATACTGTCAAAGCTCTCCCTGCAGCCATCTCAAGAATTCACAAAAGAGCTCTTATATACAACCAGGGATTAAAACAATATAACCTGGTCTTTTATGTGAACGTTTAGCATAAAGCCTGGGACATGTACATGTAAATGGTCACTCTCTTGTGCGAGTTTTTAGCGTTAAAAGCCTGGGGCATGAAAATGTTCATTTGCGGTATTCCCAGCAGTTGTAAATATCCTGAAAATAATTGCCTTTGATACATGGAAGAGATTCTTGGATTAACAGGTAAGGTAACTACATGTACAAGTTTCAGATGGAAACCTGCAAATCTCTCATTTGAATGATGAAAATATTGCACACTCCTTTAATGGCTGCTTTCAAGAGCTTAAAAATAATTTATAAACAATTAGATTAGCTGGTACTTCTCAAAGGTGCTCATGGTTGCTAAGGGAGAAGATCCTTTTAATTGCAGCGTGTGTGACAATTCAGAAGGGGGTCAAAATAGTGGTTTTAACTACCTATAGGCCAGAAACAGATGCAAAACATGTTTGCATAACTGTAAAATACACTTTAATCTCTCACTACGGACACCTCCACAATAAGGACAGCTTATTTGGTCCCAGAAAAACTAGAATTATTATAATCTGTACCTCTATAATATGGACACCTCCATAATATGGACACTCACCTCTGGCCCTTTGCTCTTCATATTTAGGAAGGTCCACCATAAATTGGAAATGCTTCCAGATTGTACATATGTGCAGTGCATACACTCAATTAACATGTAAAAAAATAATTTGGCTTAATATTTGTGTCATCTGAGTGACTCAAATGGAGCTTTCTTAATGGTTAACCATTCATTAAATGATTTATTCCTAACTATCCACATGTAGTGGCGTCAAATACAATTAGTGCTATATACACATACATAAATATAATATACATTTACAACAATGGAATAGCCTCCTGAAGCTTGATAGTATTTCCACAGTTCTTGTAATGTTATTCTTTCATTCTACAACTGAAAGAAAGAAAGAAAGAGAGAAAGAAAGAAAACAGTGTTATTACTGCTACATAAATGCCCAACAGTCGTAACAAAACAAGATGCATGTAAATCACAATGACAAGTGCATGTACTGTCAAACTGCTCAACAGTGCAGATGGCCAGTCCAACAATCCATTAAATTTTCTTAATCAGAATTGAAGACCAAATGTATATGTATAGTACTTTATTTACAATATTTAGTCGTCTAGGTAATTGCCGAATATCTTGCATCGAGCAAGGTACATTTTAATTGACAGCAATACCATTATATTGATTTGGCTGAGGGATACAATTAAGTGACATCACAGATCATCTTTCAAATTATTCTCACATTCCAATAATATTGATTCTTACTTATGATCAATTAGCAAGGACAGACCTACATTTCAAGAATATATGACACCATCAACATTTTTTTTTTTTTTGGTTTCTTTATTATATAAAACAGATAGATTCCATGTTGCCATGCATCTGTTCAGTAATTGATCACACCAGACATGACAAGAAGACCCCAAGATGTAGTAAGAACATCAGTGACACACTCGGCTATCACATTAGCCGCTGTTCCGAAAAATGAGCCCGCACTTCCTTCCATCTCACAGTTCTCGTGAGATGAATCATATTTTGCTACGTATTAACCGGGTGGTCGCAAGTTTTGGGAAATTACTGAACAAATTGAGATAAGCTTTCAATTCGTGCAAATCAAACTAACCAGAAATAATATATTTGTTTGATTACGCGCGTAGAAACAAAGTCCGTTGATCGATATATGGCCGATTGTATTTAAAAACGTAATCAACCTTCGTTCTGGTATACCCTCTGATTGGTTGATTTTGACAGGATATGTCAACATTCGAGCGTTACTTACGCAAATGAGAAATGCGATATGGCGGTCAGTGTAAAATGGGATTGACGGACCTACACGACTAATACGGTCCGTGACATTTGTACATTTACCGCTATCTCCTCGGTCTCCGGACCTTTCTTTCTTTCAAATGTGTTTATGAAGCGTACTTTATGTTGTGTTATTAGGGCCCGGCTGTTTGATTCCAACTATTTACAGGTACAGTATGTTGCTTCTTTTCACGGATATCATATTTATCATTCTTAATCATTTATCTTCGCCCGATTTTTCTTCGAAGACTGCCGTAGCTTTACTTCGAGCAAGAACGTCTTGAATTGCCGGTCGATACCGTCCTGTCGAGTTTTAGCACCCTTCGCGCAAGGAGTATCTCCAGTCGACGATCTAGCGTTCGTTTGTCGTTTTGGCAAGAATTATTTCTCAACACATCTGCTGACAACTAAGATCCACGAGCCGGCAGTCACGTTACGGGTCCCTTTAGGAAGGACCTTTTGTTAAGTTTGCCCAAGGGCGTTCTTTCGCTTTCTCTCGCCGCACTTCTCCCCTATTTTTTCACTCGCCGTTCTTTGCGATGCACCCCAACTGACCAGAGTTTGGTCCGCTCAGATTTGTGGTTGATTGATGATACCTGGCTTCGGAATTTTAAGGAGGGGAATTTACATAGTCCCTGGACCAAAATATGCTTTCTTTTTGACGCCCCGAGTATGTCAATTTATAGAGATTTTATGGTGCCCCGATTATGTCAATTTACAGAGATTTTGCAGAGATTTTATGGTGCCCCGACTATGTCAATTTACAAAGATTTTACCGTGCCCCGAGTAGGTCAATTTACAGAGATTTTATGGTGCCCCGAGTATGTCAATTTACAGAGATTTTATGGTGCCCCGAGTATGTCAATTTACAGAGATTTTATGGTGCCCCGAGTATGTCGATTTACAGAGAATTTGCAGAGATTTTATGATGCCCCGAGTATGTCAATTTACAAAGATTTTATGGTGCCCCGAGTATGTCAATTTACAGAGATTTTATGGTGCCCCGATTATGTCAATTTACAAAGATTTTGCAGAGATTTTATGGTGCCCCGAGTATGTCAATTTACAAAGATTTTACCGTGCCCCGAGTATGTCAATTTACAGAGATTTTATGGTGCCCCGAGTATGTCGATTTACAGAGAATTTGCAGAGATTTTATGATGCCCCGAGTATGTCAATTTGCAGAGATTTTACGATGCCCCGAGTATGTCAATTTACAGAGATTTTATGGTGCCCCGAGTATATCAATTTACAGAGATTTTGCAGAGATTTTATGGTGCCCCGAGTATGTCAATTTACAGAGATTTTACATGATCAGGCTAAACCTGTAAAATCTTTGTAAGTGGTAAATTTACAAACATTCTTAGAAGATTTTGTTAAGTCTGTGAATTATGAGTCCCATCCTCTTACTCTAGCTGCTACAATTTACAAACATTTTACAAACATTTTGAAATGAACAGAACTGAAAACTAAACAAAATGTTTGTAAAATAAATTTACAGATACACTGTTTTTAAGCAGAATAAGTACCAAAGTCTGTAAATTCAGGATCTACAGACATTTCATTAAGTCTGTAAATGTGTCAAATTTTCCAGTGAAATTACAGAGGACATGGATGTCAGATATGAGAGCATGTATTCTGGCAAGCAGAATGGAGAGAACGTGCCGGCACAGTATGAACAGCTCAAGGTGAGATAGCTTGGCTTACAAGATGTCGCTTATATCATGCAAATGATGCAATAAATTCAGTGGAATAGGCCCAATGCAAAAATGGCTGCCATTAATTTTTGCCACTGAGAAGAAGTGTTTGTCAACAGAAAAATATAATTTTGTTTTAAAGCCATATTCCTATCTGACTGGAAATTACAGGGACATATATTATGTTAAAAACATGAAAACGAGGCTAGTCAGAGCAGAGTAATTTTTTTCATACAAATTTCCTAAATTTAAACGATTTAAAACTTTGCCATCGTTAACGTAAAAACACTTACATTTTCAGGAAATTATATTATTTTATTTCTTTTGATGCTGTATCATACGTGGTTGAGGAAACTTGACCACGCAACAGAGATCAATGGCAGCAATTTTTGCATAAGGTCTATGGCAGCCATCGATCAGTAACACCTTAAACAAAACTCACTTCATTCATAAATTTGTCATCCTTGCCTCATTGCTTCATTGGTAAGTTTGCTCGAATTTGAAACGTGGTGATTAATCCGAAACCGAGACCCCGTTCGTGCGATAAGCATTGCCTTAATTAAACAAGTGTCTCTCTTCACCCACCCTGCATGGCCTTGATGTCTAAATGATTTCCTGCAATATTACTTCAACATGAAAAAAAAATTACTTCAACATCCACCTTTCTAAGTGACGGGCGAACTTCGCATGCAAATATTACTCGGTATTTTTAAGATAAACTTCAGGGATTTCTTGATTTCAAGTCGTATTTTGGCACTCTTGTGCGCAAAAGGCTCAAACACCAGTTTGATGAATTACAAATGTCGCCTACAAAGCAGCACAAATCTTAGATGAGTTCCGCAAACTGTCTTTTGTAATATACATGTAGCCCAATGTATTAAATACTTTCTGTGTGACGCAGGTTTTAAAGCTCAAACTTTTACAATTCAAAGAAAATATGTGCTCGTTTGCACTTTTGTTACCCAGCTTTACCGGTTTTGAAAGTCGGCATTTCCTTCGATATTACCCCGAAAAAGCTAAAATTTTCACCAAGTACTAAATTCTGCAAGCTCTTTACTTCTGTGTAGTTAATTTATATCCAGCGTGATGCCTCCCCAAGACAAATTCCTATGCTAATGAGGCAAAATGTAAACAAGTGGTCAGTGGCTGAGCTCAGCAAACATACTCCTAGTCCTCCTAGCCGCTTCATGCTACAGAAACCGGGATAAACTACGGCCTGATCGGCCACTTGGTTCCTATGCAGATTTAACCTAGGTCACAGAATAGGCTGTTTCCGAACTACCTTTAGCCTCTTTCTCAAAGCGAGTCTTGGTGCCCATCCTTACATATGAAAATGAGATTTCATTCACACTGCACATGCAAATTTAACTCATTTTGATATGAATGGTGTTGCATCTGGCCTCGCTTTGATGGAGACGCTTAAGGCAACTCGGAATTGGCAATTCAATTGCACTTTTCGCCTTCCACAGCTAAGTGAGCCAAGCAATGGATTTTATCAGTCTTTGGACGACACCAAGGAACGTGGTAAACAAAACAATGGTCAAGAGGACGCCAGCGAGACAGAACTCAAAAACAGGCCACTGAGTTCCTTCCAGAATCCAGCTTACCAAAGTACTAGCATGAATTCTGGGCTGGATGTAGCTAAAGACTGTGAAACGCCGCTGTAGAGTGGTTCTCGCAAGGTAAACTTGATGCAACCCTACTTTTATTCNTGATTGATTGATTGATTGATTGACTAACTGATATACTTATCTTTATATTTTTTATTTGTAGGGTTTTCCTTTTGCATTGACATAAAGGATGTTTACGTATTTCATTTAATACCGCACAATTTGCTTTGAGACAAGTACTGTAGGATGAAAAATTTTGGCGGACGAAAACTTTAAATCAAAGCAACATATTGATTTTCAACATTAAATGCATAACTTTCTTATGTAAGTTTTTGTAGGAGCAGAATTTTATTCAGTTTTTGGTGTGATGTCTGACCTTCCTTAGGTTATGTATTATATGTACAAGACACAGTTTTGCACAATAAAGCATTTAACGAAAGAGTTTTTTCTGTTCATTGGTAATAGGGTGCCATTTTTCTCGTATTCCTCTGCAATCAACTTTTATCTAACCAGTATTTAAACTCCTCGAGGGAATCAATCAGTGTGTGGCTCGAGCGTCGTAAAGTATACCACTTAAAACTACAGAAAGGACAGCATTTTCTTATTATTTCTCCCATTGCAATCCTAAAATATACTTTGACGGCTAAAAATGGCGGCGTTTCATCATGAACACCCTAAGTGAGACCAGAATCCTTGATTTATACCCAAAGCGAGACGACGAGCATCCCCGACCATTTCATATGGGAGACCCCCNCCCCCCCCCCCTCCAGGGAACGATGCACATGTACAAGTCTAGGGAGAAAAAAAACAACCACGACTGATTAGTTCTAACTTTGGTACAGCAACAATTTCAGCTTATTTAGTATGTTATTTGATGGCTGAACTAGTTGCTCCGATTGCTTATACCAGGGATCATTTTCATCCATTTACAACACACCTACCATGCGTAATGAACAAACATTGTGACCTGATAGTCTGAAATGTCTGTCATCTCCCCCCCCCCCCGGGCCCCCTCCCCCCGCCCCCTAGATCAGCTTAATCCCCGGGTGAGGGACTCCTCTCTTGCCTGGGGATTACGCTAATGTGACCTGAAAGCAGATTGGACAAAAAGTGTTCTTAAATAGCTGGAAGTCCAAGGCTCGCCGTTTAAAAAATGTATTTCTGACTGAGGTTGCCGGTACGTATTAGATTGGCTGCTTAGGGCAAAATTACATGAGAAATATTCACTTGCCACTGAAAACTGGCCGTTTGTTGCATCTGGTGGTTAAGATCTTGCTATTTTACCATGGGATTTGAACTTCTATGTTTATATTCCGTTTCGCATCTTTTGTTTGGGTTGAGCTGATTTAAAGCCAAGAAGTTAGGGACTATGCAATAATTACCTGGAGGGGGGGTTGGAAAACTAGAGGGGGGGGACAGGAGAAAATGACCACAATAGAGAGGGGAGTTGTTAAATTTTGAAAATTTAATAAAGAGATTGTTCGTCAACGAGGGAAAATTGCCCTCTCTTGAAGAAAGTTCTTTGCAAGAGGTATGTTCCAGCACAACGTGGACGAGACTGCATGTTAAAGTTATGTACAGCACCTTGAGTTCCTCGATGCAAAAGCCAAAAAAAGAGTAAGAGAAAGGAACACTCTTCCGCTTATTTCTTGAACAATTGAAAAAGATGTAAAAGCGCTTACCAACAAGCAGCTGAAAATGTATCTAGAGCAAAAAGGTCTTGAGATAAGTGGAAGCAAGGCTAAGTTGATTGATCAAGTTCTTACCCATGCACGCGAGAACCTTAGTGCCAGAGATGCTGTAGAAGATGAGGAATCTCCCAATTCATGCGAAGACGACACAAGCTCAGAGTCCAGTGATTCTGATGACTTTTCAAATGACACTTCGACATACGTCGAAGAGTCATTTGAAGTGATGTTTGTACCGGAGGAAGAACTCCAACAAGTAAACAAGGTATGAGGGAATCAATGGGAGGAGACTTTTCTCAAGGAAGGGGGGAGGGTTAGCCTTAATATTATCATTTGCTTAATGATAGGGGGTATGACTTAGTTATGGGGCATACTTCACCCATTTCCCAGCCTCCCCCCCTCCCCCTCCAAGTTATTATTGCACAGTCCCTTAGTATGGGATTGTATCAATCTCTGTACTCTTTTTCGAATGAACATTAGCAACATGAAATTTTATACCTATTCTTACATTAGTGTTATAATATAGATATAAAAAAAGAAACTTTTTGTTACATATGGTGAAGGAAAAAAATAAAAAGATACTTTTGGGGTGACGCACTTAATTTCTTCTTCCACTTGACAGTTGAAATCACATTTGTATTATTTGATGCGCGAAGCGGTTCAGCGTAAAATAGCAACATCATCAGAATATACTTAAAATCAAGAGTCAACATCATTAACAACAGTGACAAACTATAAGGTGATTAGTTAACTACACAAGCAGCCTTGAAAACAAAATCACAGTCACAGACATAACAATATAAAATGTCTGCCAACCTTCTGACTTCAGATCTCCTTCTCATAACCGACTCCCGCATAGAATGAAAAGTATTACTTAAAGGGGCAACCGAAGAATAACGTCTTAGATCGTCTTAGCTACATATTTGCATTCCGTGGCTCTTGCAGAGTACATTTCTCTGAAGAAGACCGCAGAAGGCGGTCGAAAATTCAGTTTTAACGTCTTTTAGATATGTTTTAAGCTCCTATTTAAAATTTTGATCACGGATACAGATCGCTCCCACAGTTTTATGTACTACTTAAAGTAATATTGCATGTCAACGAGATCGCTTTCATTGCTGACCAACCACGCAACTACTGAAATATATAAAGAGGTTTTGTATCTGTAGGCAGATTTGAATGACAAAACAAATTGACGTCAATGCTTGGAAGCATTAATCAGTGCTGTAGGTATCTTATCTGTCATTTTCAGTGTCTGTAGAATTGGAAGACAACACCAAGATTAGAGAATGTGTCAATCCGTCACACAAGCTAACAAGTCCACTCTAAATGTATTTAGTCTTAATCACGATTGCTGAAAACGAAAAGGCAATAATATTGGAATCACTTGACAATGACTTATAATTGTTATAGTACTTCAGGAAAAACCGTTTCCTATATTTCGACTCCTGATTGGCTAATGAAATTTGCGCATACGTAGAATTATGACTCAGGAAAATTGTGAACTACCGCAAGCTCCGATGAAATCGCAGACAGCAACTAAGGAATATCTTACACAGTGAAGGATATTTCCAAGCCGAGTAGTTTGATAATTGCATGACAGCTATTCATGCTTGAAATATCTCACACAAATAGGCTTCAAAACACGTGCAAATTAAACACGTGCCCGCGAAACATTTGCGTGTTTTTACGAGGGGCTCCACAGTAGCCACAACAACCAACTTGAGACGATGTTTCGAAATTTACATGTTACAGACGATATTGCATTACCAGGCACCGAGCCGTGATATTGATTCATTTCTGCCGCAATAACAGTCCCCCAAAGACTTCAAATGTGTACAAACTCCTCGTTCTTGAGAGCATTTGTGTTACGTTAATATCAGTAGCCAACAGTGCTTTCTGTTAACATTTTCTCTTGGTAAGAGCTCAGTATGAACTTCGGTGTCATTGCAAGTTGGACGTTCGTGTTTTTGGCGTTATTCTGTTCCACGGCTCATGGAGGTAAGTCAGAAAATCAGAGCACAGTTTACATTATTTTGCGAACAAACATTTATGTGAAATTTATTTTCGGAAGTTTATTTTCAACTTAAGAATGTCACATGGAAATCCTTAAGAAAACCTCTTAACAAAAAACTTCAGTTTCAGTCATGTGATTTTAGACATGCTAGCTGTGTGATCGATTACATAACGTATCTTTTCATTTCATTGCCAACCTGCCACTTGTAAAACTTTTAGAGCATAAATCGTGTCTCTTAAGTTTGTAAGTGTTCGAGGGCTGAAAAACATTTTCTTGTTATTTCGTGTTTGCCCCATTGCGTGCTTGTTGAATTACTCTCCTCCTGGAAGCAACGACGAGCGGACATTGTTTCGCGCCTTAGAAACCTATTTTTTTATTTCATCGATGGTATGCTAATTAGAGCTTTAGCTTGTTAATGGCTGCCTTATTTACACGATTTCAAGCTCGGTTTCTGGCTCACAATACAATAGATGAAACAATGCAAGCTATGGTGCTGGTCTAATTTAATCCCTGTACAACTTGGTTTAAAAGACACATAATCACAACCTTGGCCCGGAACAGGCAACTGATAACTAACGAAAAACGCGGTGTTTATAATTCGCACGCGTAGAGCGCGTTAAAAAACCCACTATTGACATGGATGTAGTCATTTTCACTATGTCTTTCAGCGCTTTGAACGGTTTACAATTTCAGTATTAAAAATTAATAATATTCAGACCTTGTTCTAAAAATCCCGTCTGATAATCTACAATAGTGCTCTAACAAGATGACTGATAACTAACGTAAACACGGTGTCTTTAATTCGCTCTTGCGGGGCACGTTTAAAAAAAAAACGCTAACCACATGGATGGAGAGATTTTCACTTTGTTCTTCGGTGCTTTGAACTCACGATTTACAAATTGAGTATTCGATGTTTACAATATTTTCAGACATTTCTCTGTTGATCAAGCAAGATAATGAGACGAATTGTAACCAATATAAGTTGCGAATACAGAACGATTTTCGTCTGTTGTTTCAAGAAGACGAAAATCTGTCTGCGTTCACAAGCTGTAACTGTAATACCACAAGTTGTACCAGCCTCACAGTCCCACCGTTATCTTAATTGACTTTTTTTTATCTTACATTATCAATACATTGCTTTACAATCCCACCGTTTTCTTAATTAAGTTTTTCTTTTTTTTTCTTACATTTTAAGTACATTGACAAAAGACGGCTGGCGCGAATAAGAAACAGTCGCGAAGTAGAAGATGTATTGTCTTGATCTGTCCTAAATTCTCATTACTAAGATTGAAAGAAATGCACGGAAAAGGCAAAAAGAATTTAAGCCGGGCAGTATTCCGGCTGATGAGTTCAGTAATCTGTTTTAATTACTTTGGCTAAGTGCTTGCTCAAAACTTTGCTTTGTTCTTTTATAATAGAAAGAAAAAAAAACGCTAAAACTGGAGAAAACTGACAACGAACTCTTTCGACAAAAAAGAAAACTGATTACTTACATTTCCAAAATTTAACCATAACGGCAATTTGATTTGTTGAAATCTGGTCACAAAATCAAATTTGAATACTTCCATCCTTCTTCTCCAAAATACCTGTGTTATTTTGACTAGTAGAATCTTTTAGCCAGAGGATTTGAATATTTGTTAGCATTTAGCCATATGACGAGAGAGATTAAAAGAAATTTCAGTCAACGTTTCGACTGGCATCAAGCATCATTCTCATGACTGACGTCGTTAATGTCAAGGTCGAAGTTGTTATGTAAGAGTTGAGTTTGAAGTGGATTGCATTCCAATATGCTAGTCCAATTCTGGCCCTCTCTCTATCACGCAACACTACGCTCTCGGAGAGAGGGTCCAGGGACAATCCTCCGTAGGAAAAAAGAGTGCGACTGGTACATTTACCCATAGTTCTTAGCGTACGGACACCTTAACAACGTTCATAAAAACGTACAGAAAAGTAACAAAATCTTCGAACCTAGGCTACACAATGTCCTTAGTACAGGGACAAATATTGTAAAATGTGGCTTTCTTTGTGCCTTATAGGCTGTGTTAGGTTCGCTCTTCGCAAGGTATTGTGGTAAATTGTTCAGCCGCCATCTTTTTTCCTACGGTGGATTGTCTGCGCATGGGTATCTCTCTCTGAGAGCGTGGCGTTGCGTGACAGAGAGAGGGTAAGAACTGGACTATCCAACATGCGCGAAATTTAAAAATGTACTAATCATCAGTGAATAACTTCGCGCGGATCGAGTCAGACTGCACGTTGAGTGATGCTTTTAGTTCTGTTATGAATAGGATTTCATATATTAAGCAGTCAAGTTTAGCGATACAACATGGAAATTAGGTAGCTATAGGAGAACGGTGGATAATCAGTGCGTACACTGAGCCTTATATCTTGTCTAATATCATCAACTTCGGCGGGCTTAGTGGGTTGAAGATACCTTTAAAGAAATACGAAATGTATTAAGAGCCGTTTTGAACTGATATGACTTAAAAGTAAGCCACTGGCGTCTCAAACATCTACTTTGCTGACCGGCATTGCTTTATTTGTTGCTAAACAGTGTACCCTAAACTTCCGAATGCAATGACCGTTCGTTACTTTCGGAATAAGCAGCCTTTGTGGCTCGCGACTGAGCACTTTTTACGAAATAAGAGACGGAAATTCGTCAGTAAAACAGCCCTTAAAACATGAGATGAAATTCTTCCTTCCAGTTAAAATATATGTCGCTGCCACACGGGGGGTGGGNCGCACTGCTACACGTTAGTCTGCTGTATCAATATCTCATTGCGCTAGTCGAGTTTTCAATTTTAATTTGTAGAAACTCTCCTTTGAATACGCTCCTGTTGAAAATGACACAGAATCTATAGATCTCGTACCAACCTCTACGATGAACACTGAGTTGTGACAATGTCTCTAAAACTAGCCGTGTCATGTACTTTGAATGATCATGACGACATAATGCAATGGCACTAAAAATATGTCAGAATAAACTTATTCACAGGTCTAATTATAGAGTGCTTGAGGTTTTTTTATACCTTTTATACATTAGTAACGATCCATGCGTTTTCTTTTGTTTAAGATTACGTTAGTCATTCAGATGGCAAAGAAGGGCACAACAGTAAGTCAAGATTTGGACCGAAAATGTTATATTTAACTAGTAGTATTAAGCTGTTATTTATAGACAAGGTTACAGCCTCAATCCTTGACTAACAGTCCTGAATATCCTATTTAACCTCAATATATCAATTTAAAGTCAACACGTGAATCATAAAAACTAAAAACCGAAAATAGTCACAAAAGAGTACTGTTAATTCTTGGCATAAAATGAAATTCTCCAACTGTAGTAGGGTACTATCTGTGGAGTCAAGGAAGAAGAATGTAGCGATGACGAGCCGCCCTCCCACTTGCCACGACCCCTTTGCTATGTTAACGTATTCGTATTCAAAAGCCAAAAAAACGTTAAAAGAATATGCAATCTTTTGCATGACATGTCAGCAGTGTGCAGACCAATTGTTTCGCTAGTTTTAACATTAATTTTTAAGGAAGAATTTTGTTTTGTTTTGTTTTTTTTTTAATTTCAGCTGCTTTTACGATTGTAATCGTGCTAGGAGTTGTCTTCGCCATTCAGTTTCTTGTCTTTGTGTTCTTTGCATGTAAAGGATGGGACGCAGTGTTCGGGTAAGTATCTCTCACACTCTTGTTGCCGATACTTTAACTCAACAACATTTATAACTTTAGTACCATAATTTATTCCACAAGTCCAGTCAGGTTTTCAAAACTAAAATCCTGCACGACCAAAACCATGTGCGTACATCCGGGTTACAAAGTTTCTTACATATCTTATACTTCATGTAAAGTCCTCGTAATGTCAAATCCGATTTAGATAAAACTACGCTGCGGCGGCTACAGTTGTTGTTGTTGTTGTTGTTGTTGTTGTTGTTGTTGTTGTGGAGTTCGAAACAGGAGTTTGCCATGTCATCGCACAAGGAAAGGTCAAAATAAAATCTAATGGAAACTAGGATACTATATTTCCGGAGTTTACTGGAAAAGAACGCCGATCAAAATTATGACCAACTTCACAAAAAAAAGATATGGGAAATCACTCTTTATTTGTAGAGGACGGTTTAATAGTTGTAGGGACAATTTAAAAATCCCATTATCAGCCCCATTACAAAGCACTCGCGCTCACCCTGAGAATATCAGTGTCTTTTGTTGCATCATTCCAGAAGTGCATAGTTAAATGAGAATAAATTTAAATCTTCAAACTTTTGAGCTAAACTGATATCTTCGTTGCGCTTCAGTTACCAGTAATTTTCTGACTTCTTGCTTTTCAGCTCACGGTCTGTCCGCAGTGACCCGGAATCTCAGTTAGCGAACCAGTTTCCTTTCTTGCCTTCTTACGAGATGGCGATGAATGAAGCGCGTGAAAGTCAACAGAACACTAATACAACCCCAGAGAGTTTGATTATTGATAACGGTGTCATACTGGAAATAAGAAATACAAGAATAATCCCCTCCACAGAGAGTCGAAGTAATATTATTGAAGCAAACGCTACTGTGAACACACCAAGAAATTACAGCCTCGATGATGAAGATGTGTTAGAGATAGGAAACTCCACTGTGGACGCAATTGTGCAAGACAGTAATGGCAGTGCTGAAGAGCAAACGGAAGCAAATGTTACGTCACCTTCGGGGAACTGTAATAACGACAATGAAGTTGATTTAAGTATAGGTCCGTCGAGTGTACATACAAGTTCACAAAAATGAAGATTGGTGTTGCCACATTCTTGGAGCAGGTGTAAAAACGAGACTTAATAAAAGAAACAGTTACGAAGTTATGAACAAATTTACATAAGATCGGATGTTTACCATCGAGAAAAAGGAATGGACAAATAAAGGTTCAATCGACCATGTAACATAAATGTTAACTGGTTATCATGTAAGATATTTTATACACTGTAAATTCCTAGTATATGTACATATATATATATAATATAAATAAAGTTTTAGCCTGGTCTGCACGAGCAATTTTTATATGACAATTTTTATGTGACATTTTGATCGCGTAAATGGGACAGCAATTTTTTTTTTTCTGTCAGCAGTTCAAAGTTTAGTGCACCAGCACTGTCTTTGGACAGCACATATACGCAGAAACAAGGCGGGGCTGCTTAGTGGCCACACATTTTATGTCATGAGTCGTCCAACACACCAGCTTTTCAGCGAGTACATTTACCATGCACATAAAACTTTGTCAATTTTCTTCGTCTACACATAAAAATTGCTCGTGTTGGCTAGGCTTTCGCAATCGTGACGCTTTATAATAATAATAATAATATCAATAACAATAATAACAATAACAATAATTATAATTATGCACTGTAGTGCGCTTTTAAAGTAAAAAAGTAAAAAATAAAGACCCTCATGGAGTAGACTTGGCGAAATTAAAATAGATAAAACAGAAACACTCTGGAGCTTAAATGTAGAAGGGTCATAGATGGAGAGAGCAGGAGAGAGCATGGTATCCATTGAAACTTCCAAACGATTATCCCCTATCCCCTATCCCCGCACTTTTAACAGTACGTTGTGTAACAATTTCTTACATCGATTATAATCCAAAATTTGCTTTGTTTAAAGCTACCATCTGTTTTAAAAAAAGGACAAGGCTTTACAGTTTTGCCGTGTAACACAAAAATTTTGCGGGAGTTTATTTTCGCGAATCGGCAATTTCTTTGCATTTTGCGGGAACTAATTTTTGCCATTGTAAAAGACTGGTTTTTCTTGCTTGGAACTAATTTTTGCGAATTTCGGGAAGTCGTATTTAATTATTATTACAACGTTTTCGCATTTCCTAATTAAGCTGCACAAAATTGACAAACGAAACAACATGTAGATATGGAGGTATATCTACGACAAAATTCAATACTCAGTAATTGATATCAAATCATCCAAATTGTACATGCATCAATCCAAANCGATGCCCGTGCAGACCTTCGACAAATTTAATATCAGATGTTTGAAAACGAATTTAATTGTAATTTGTCAGTTTGAGATCAGCGATGAGTGGGTTGAAGTATATCGGGACTAGTCTGGCGTTCGCATTGGGAAAATCTTTCTCTTTTTCTCTCGCGAATCTGTGCAAAATAAAATATTTTTGTGTTTTTTTATGACTGGATAATTTTACAATCGACAAGAAACCATTTTGATTCTGGAGCCTTCAAAATATAAAAAAAAAGGAAGTTGCCCAAACTAATTTGCGAGGGGACCATCTTAGCGTTATTTAAACCAACTAGAATTTAGTTTTTCTTAGTTAACTTGTTTGCTATAAAATAATTCTTGATAAAAGCTGGCAGCCTACATCAGATGCCAGATTTATCGAATAAAAATACATGCGGCCTTGGACACGAGCCAGGGCCCTCTCGATTTCCTGAACATTCAGTCATAAGGTCCACCTTCTATACCTGTCGTTATATTTCAAGTTCACTTCTTAAGCAGAACACAACAATGCGAAGCTTTCTGGCGTGCCAGTTACTATTCACATCATTCTCACCTGAGACTGAAGGAGCAGACTATACAAGGAACCCTTTCTGACTAATCATTGAGCCCATATTTTGTATGGAGGTATATCTATGACAAAATTCAATACTCAGTAATTGATATCAAATCATCCAAATTGTACATGCATCAATCCAAAGCTGAATGGCAACTAGCCGATTCTACAAATAATCATTACGCAAAGAGGCATCACACAAAAAGGCATCACACTAAAATGCATCACGCGAAAAGGCATCACACTTAAGGGTATCACCTGAAAAGGCATCACGCGAAAAGGCATCACGCTTAAAGGCATCAAGCGAAAAGGCATCACGCTGAAGGGCATCACGCGAAAAGGCATCTCAAGGCTTCTCAAGTTTTTTGCCCCCTCGCGAGGTATTAATTCAGTACAGGAGGCATGCCTTGAAAGGGTTAATACAGCAAGTGAGCAATGGAATCAAAAACGATTGCATTTCTTTCCGATCGGTGAGATCGGCGAGTATTTTTCAGGATGGCGGACAAGTGCTGAGCGTTCTTCGTATGACATTGGCGATAGTACAAGAAGCTCCTGAACATGAATTCACTACTGCAGCTAAACCTCTCCTTTATTATGGTGCGACTGAGAGGGAGATTACGTGTAAAGACACAAGCA